CCATGCTAAGCCATAAGCAGCATACACAGCAATAAGTATAGGTATTATTACTGCAGGCACTGTTACAGTTAGGCTATTAAGAAAGGATGGTAATAAGTCTCCGCCTCTTCCCCCTGCGACTACTATGTTCCTTGGGCTAAGAATACGAATGTAATTGTTGAGAGTAAGATCTTGTATGTGAGAAAAAATAGTCCACCATCCGCTCGACGCTGCTGCATCGGGAGGACGAAAAGAAGTAATAAAAAGGCCCAGCGTTGGTGTTATCCAAAGCACGCACATAATGAAAATAAGTGAATGCACTAACACCTTTTCAAATCTGCTTTGTCCAGCCCAAATATTACTTTTTCTTATCTTTGCCATTTTTTTCTAGTTCTTTCCTATTCTTCTCAAATTGTATATCATCACTGGAATTACCGCAAGAAAAATAACAATGGCTATAGCACTGCCCTGACCGTAATGCAAAAACTTAAACATAGACTTGTACTGCTGGCTGGCAAGAACCTCGGTTCCATACAAGCCGTTTGTTATAGAGTATACGATATCAAAGATTTTTAATGTTAAAATAAGTATCGTGGTTGACACTGTAAGAATAGTTCCTTTAATATGGGGAATAATAATGTATAGTATGATATTAAACTCACTTACTCCGTCTATTCTTGCAGCTTCAATAATTTCCAGCGGCACACCTTTAATCGCAGAAGAGAATATTACCATTGCAAAGCCTGTTTGTAACCACACAAAGATTACTATAAGCAAGAGCGTATTCCATGGTCTTTGTATAAGCCAATGTACAGGCTCAACACCAAATAAGCCGACAATAGCGTTGAGTAAGCCAATCTGTGGCAATCCTGGTGGTTGATACGCATATACAAAGCGCCATATAATCCCTGCACCAACAAACGATATTGCAAGAGGCATAAAAACAATTGCTCTCGAAAGACGCTCAAACTTCGTTCTATCAGAAAGAATGGCAGCAACTAATCCAAAAAATACACAGAGCCCTGTGCCTAGCACTACCCATATTACATTGTTTACCATAGAAATTTGCATGGATTGATTGCTAAACACATACCCATAGTTTTCTAAGCCAACAAATGTATTGCCCTGCTTATCAAAAAAACTGAAATATAGCGTTCGAAATGTAGGGAGAATAAGGAACCACAGTAAAATAAGAGATGCAGGCCCAATAAAAAGTAGGACCTCAAGTCTTTTTCTTATATACTGTGGGAATATACTAATACCTCTGTCTATAGCAAAAAAAAGTAAAAATATAGAGCTTACGCCCCATATTATTGCAATAAACGCTAGAGTTACCTTAGGTATAGATAAACGAAGTGTATAAAACCCAGCAAGAAATACAAATATAAAAATCAAGAATGAAAAGAGAGAAGGGAGAAGGTTTTTTGATTGAAAACGTGCTGTGTTTTGCACAATGCTGTATAAGTGTAAAATGTGCGCTAAGGCAGTAGTTGTAAACTACAAACTACTAGCCTTAGTAACACACTCACGATTTAGGGCCAACTTGCCTCTATATCATTGAGTACTGCTCTGTCGTCTTTTCCTGTAACCCATTCTACCATACCAGTCCAGAAAGTCCCATTTCCTACCTCTGGTGGCATAAGATCGGATGCGTCAAATCTAAACGCTGACGCCTCAACAAGTGCCTTTGCAAGCTCTCTTTCTATATCGGTAGCATATGCGCTGTAGTCTTGGTCTTTGTAAGGGAATAATGCCCCTCCCCTTGAGGCCCATGTTCTACCAGAATCCCATGAAGCAAGGAACTCCATAACCTTACGTACCTCTGGTGTGTCGTTAAACACCACATATTGCTCGCCTCCCCCCATGATTGGTGGTGATGCTGCATTAGGATCTATTGGCGGAAGAGGAAATACCCCTACATATTGATCAATATTTGCCTTGACATTATCAGGTAACCAGTTAAAAATAAAATTTCCTTGGCGGTGTAGCATAGCTGTTGGTGGATTTTGAAACAAAGGTCGTATCGAATCTCCAAAGTTAAGTGCTGGCATTGTAGATGCCCCACCTAGAACATAACCAGGGGTAAAGAAAATTTGCTTTACATACTGCATTGCATTGAGTACAGAAGGATCGTTAAATGGAATATCATGCGATATCCACTTATCATACACATCGGCACCTGCTGTTCTCAGCATTACATCTTCCATCCAGTCAGTGCCTACCCATCCTGTTGCTGCCCCTGATTCCATACCAATACTCCATGGAGCTATCCCATCGGCTTTCATTTGATCGCTTAGCGCTATGAGCTCATCCCATGTTTTTGGGATTGAATAGCCTCGACTTGTAAACTCTTGCTTGTTGTAATACACAAAACTCTTAGCGTTTACACGGTGGTAAATACCGTATACCTCTCCGTTGTATGTTGCTAATTCCTTCCATGCTGGTGAATAATTTCTATCTATCTGTGCAATAATTTCTGGCCACATTGTTTTAAGATGCCCCTTTTCTGCAAGAGATTTCATAAGACCAGGTTGTGGCAAACCTGCGATATCTGGGGGTGTACCTGCCTCTGCTTGCACAAGGATTTGAACTTCAAATTCAGGAGAACCTTCATACTCAACAGCTATACCTGTTTTTGCAGTAAATTTCAGCAAGAACATCATTAAAAATTTCTGCTTCGTCTCCTCTTACAACACCAAAAATACGAATAGGTTTCGATGAAGATTCTGCGTCTCCACCAGCAAATGCCTGTGTTAAGAAAAAACCACTTAAAAGACTCAAGAAAAGAATCATTAATATTTTCTTCATAATATTTACCTCCTTACATATTCTAATTTAAAAACGGATTTATGTCAAGCAAGCGGATAGGGAGGGTTGTTTCCGTGTGTATAGTCATGCTTACTCCATCTTTGATGTTTCGTTAATTGTTAATTATATATAGAATAGAATATACTGTTGTATATGACCATTCGATGTTTACAGATTATCACGCGCCTGCACTCTGGGGGGGCAGAAGAGGCAGTATTAAAACTTGTGCAAGTGCTGTACAAACATAGCATTATATGCGATATTGCTACTGGATCTATACAAAACGGAGGTGCCTTGCAAAAAAACCAACTTCCTTCGCAGTGTACGTTGCATCATATTCCCTCTCTTAAAAGAAAGATACAAGCACTATCAGATATACAGGCATACCGATCTCTACGATCTCTTATACAAAAGCAAAAGTACGATATTGTTCACACGCATACAGCTAAGGCGGGTATTGTGGGGCGTTATGCTGCACACAAGGCTTCTGTGCCCGTTGTTCATACAGTTCACGGTCTTAGTTTTGGGTACCCTCCTCTTACTATTATTCAAATGATATTTCGTGCCTTTGAACGTTGGGCGGGAACGTTTACCAATAAAATGATATTTGTATCTCATGCGTGTAAGCAGTACTACCTTCAACAGAAAGTTGCAAGGCCCCAGCAATCCAGTGTAATATATGTCGGACAGGATCTTGAACCATATAGAAGGGTTGCCACAGCTTCGTATGAACAGCGGATGTTTGCAAGAAAGACTCTAGGTCTTCATGTAGACAGTTCAGAAATAGTATTAGCCTGTATTGCTCGTATTGTAAAGGGAAAAAACTTAGAAACACTTTTTACTATTCTTTCTCGTGTTGTAAGGCGACATACACATCTTACTCTCTTGTTGTTTGGGGACGGAGAGAAAAAGTACAAGAAAGATTTGGAGTACCTTGCAAAAAAACTAGGGATAGATAAGTATGTTCGCTTTATGGGGTTTTACTCTGATATTTGGAAAATCCTGCCAGCTATAGACATACATTGCTTCACTTCTCTATCAGAGGGTCTTCCTCTTGCTGTGCTGCAATGCTCTGCTGCTGGTATTCCTACTGTATGCTTTCCGTTTCATTCTACAGAAGAAATTATTCGCAATGGGGAAAGTGGGTATATCTGTCCAAAAAATGACATCGATGCTTATACTCATGCTCTATGCACCCTTATTGAAAACAAGGATATGCGAAAAGAATTTGGTAAGGCTGCTGTTCAATGTGCTCGTGGCACGAAAAACACAAATTGGGAGGTAGATACCTATAGTACACAAACAATACGTGTGTATAACGATGTCTTGCAATCAAGTGCGCGATACTAAGTGTTCTGCTTTCTTTGCAAACCTATGTATGAAAAAACATTAACATATCTACAATAATTCCGATATTTTGTAGGTAAGATACATAATACATTGATGGCCTAGAAGACCTAGTTATAGGGAGACGGCTGCACAGTCAGTGAGCTGCTGAACATGTGTGAAACGTAGCAAGAAGTGGGCTGTATGCACTAACACTAAATGGTATTAATGCGCTGGTATTGATAGTATTGATAACGGTGTAACCCCACAATAGGAGTTTTGATACAATTTCTTATATACCTTTTATTCTTATGCAGAAAAGAGCCTTCTTTTTTTTTTTTTTTTCGCCTCAATATGCACGTACAGCCAAATAGCTGCCCAAACAGAAATTATAGAAAGCACAATTCTAGCAGAAAGCAGAGAATTTGTTGCTGATACTACCTACCACATAGTAGACGTAAAGTATCACATTACAGGACTCACTACACAAGCAGCCCTTGAGTTACAGCTTCAAATATTCACCAACACTAGTTTTCCATCCCTAACATCTCTGCTTGCATTTATTGAAGATAAGCGTGCTCGTCTCGCTAACCTCAGACAGCTTAAGCCTACTTCTACCATTCTTATTACAAACACCTGGAACAAGGAAAAACAGCGTATAGATACTACTATTGATATCTACGCTATAAGCGATTGGGCTGTATTTGTGCTTCCTTATTTCAAATACTCAGATAGCACGGGGCTACTACTCAGTGCAAGAGCAAGGGATTATAATTTTATCGGTTCTCTAGAAACATTTTTTTTTGATCTAAACTACTTGTACGATATTGAGACGCGCCATTCTTTTTCTGGAACACTTGGATTTAAGTACCCCTTAAGTTTTGGGGCTCATATTCTTACACCCGGTATTATGCAGAACACCCTCTGGCGAACAGACAACTATTTCGAAAACACAACCGAGCTTAACCTTGATTACTTGTTTCATATTAATAATCACAGTACATTTAACTCATCACTCATGCAGAAATTTATTAGTTCTGGAGGAGATGCTAGCCAGGTAGAATTGTATTCCTACGCATATACAAGTATAGCCTCAAGCATGAAAATAACACTTAACAGCAGTCCATACCCCATTATAAATTTTTTTCAGTACACCCCAACAATAAAAGTGTTCTTTCACTATCCTCTTGATACAATAACACCGAAAGATAACCCAGAGTATACTAATATACTGCCTAGTATTTCTCAATCCTTGTCATTTGGTCGTGTGGACTGGGTGCACAATTTCCGCAGTGGCATACACGCTGAAGTAAGCAATACAATAAATTATGAACATAGTTATCAAGGTATTAATAGTAGCTTCTCCTTTCTTGCTATCTGGCACTACATGTACGCTAACATCTTAGGAATAAACCTTCGTTCCGTGCTAGAACATATTATATATTACCGCCCACAGCACATGAACACACTATATAACGAAGGAAAGGAGCTGGGTGAGTTAATACGTGGGGTGCTGGATGATGACTTCAGTAATGCTATTTCCAGTGCTGTAATTAACGCCGAAGTGCTGTTCAATATTTTTTCTTGGAGAGACATTCTTATTGATGAGCTACACTTAGGAATATTTTCTGACATCGGCATAAGAGGAAGGTATAACACTCATTTCTCCGCTACGGATGATCTACGCCTTACACTAGGGGCATCTATGATTGTTTTCCCTATTTTTAGAAGTTTTTTTCTGCGTGTATCATATGGCTTAGACTTACTTCAAGCAATACGAGAAGGAGAGCTTACATTTGATAACAGGGAAATTTTCATTGGTCTTTCCTTGCATTACTAATACTAGTAAATACTGTCTGTTTTTTATCTGTTTTCTCAGATATCATCTTGTCGAATGGTTCTAGCCTGTTAAACGTATAAAAATGAACTTGTGGCACAACATTCGATACAAGTAAGTCGTGTACCTGTTCACGACACCACTTTGCACCTCGTGCATACGCCTCTGCATCAGATTTTGCATGGAAGATATCTGTAAGTAGCCCTGCTGGCACTGAAGTTCCTTGTACTAAGCTCAGTAGTTTTTCTGCATGTTTCTTGTTCTTAAGAAATGTTATTCCAGGGATAATGGGAACTTGTATATCGTATACACGGCAGCGTTTCACAAAATCAAAGTAATATTCATTGTTAAAAAAAAGCTGTGTAGTAACGTAACTTGCTCCCTTGTCAACTTTTTCTTTAAGATGTTGCATGTTATGGAAAAAATTTGGTTCTTCAAAGTGCTGCTCGGGATATCCCGCAACACCTATGCAGAGCTGATCTGTTTTCTTGCGCACCGCCTCTACTAAATCGCTTGCATGTATTGTTTGAAAAAACTCTCTGTCTTTTTCTTCAATATCTCCACGGATAAGAAAAAGGTTACTTATGCCAAGTTTTTCGTATTCATGCACCAAATGATCAAGTGTATCACGTACAAGTGCGTACGCATTTATGTGAGGCACAAGTATAAGCTCGGGAAGCTCTTTTCGGATACTACTCAATAAGTATAGGGTGCTGTCAATATTATCCGACTGACATGTAATATTCACGATGCGTACTCCCAGTGCGCTGTATCTTTGCAAGCAAGCTATAAGGTGTGTTTTATCATTGGCATCGCGGGGTGGATACACCTCTATTGTGTACTTGCACTGAGGGTCGTGTATAAACTCTGTTAATTGTATATCTTGTTTCATATCCTAGGAGCTACACACAAGAAAGAAGGGTTTTTACTAAGTCTAATTTTTCCCAAGTAAAGTTTTTTGCGTTTCTTCCAAAATGCCCATATACTGCTGTATCCTGGTATATAGGTCTTAGCAAATCTAATGTTTGAATAATTCCAGCAGGGCTCATATCTAGTGTTTTTTGTATGTTCTTAGATAGTTGCTCGTCTGGAAGCACCCCTGTCCCCGCACTGTCTAAATAGAAACTTACTGGCTTTTCTTCTCCCACTGCATAGGCAATCTGGATCTGACATTTTTTTGCTAATCCGGCAGCAACTACATTCTTTGCTATGTATCGCGCAAAATATGATGCACTTCTATCAACTTTGGATGGATCTTTTCCACTAAACGCTCCTCCTCCATGCCCTCCTACCCCTCCATATGTATCGACGATAATCTTTCGCCCAGTAAGCCCAGTGTCTGCACTTGGTCCACCAATAACGAATCTTCCTGTTGGGTTTATGTGGAATGCTGTTTTCTTATTAAGTAATCCTGTGTGTTTTAGTGCTGGATAGATAATATGATCTATGCATGCTTTTTTAATTGTTGTATGCGTGATTTTTTTTCCTTGTATTGAATCAGCGTGCTGATGGCTAAGCACCACAGAATCTATGTGTTTTGGCACAGAATCTTCATACAGTATGGTAACCTGGCATTTAGCATCGGGCCGTAGCCAGGTGTAGTTTTTATCTTTCCTTCGAAGCGCATCGGCTTGCATAAGTATACTATGACTAAACATAATGGGGGCGGGCATATATTCTTTTGTTTCATTGCAAGCGTATCCAAACATCATCCCTTGGTCTCCAGCTCTAGGAGCATGATTTCTGCGTGCCTTGCTATTGCGTTTTGCACGCTCATTTACACCCGCAGCAAGGTCTGGGCTTTGCTGTCCTATACTTACAAACACCGCCATGCTATTGGCATCTATGCCGTATTCAGCATTCGTGTACCCTATATCCCGCACCACAGAACGCCCCACTTCTTCAAAATTCACCCATGCTTCTGTTGTAACCTCGCCACCTATCAGCACAAACCCACGTGAGATAAACACCTCACACGCAACTCTACTATATGGATCATCTGCTAAGCATGTATCAAGTACTGCATCTGAGATTTGATCAGCCATCTTATCAGGGTGCCCCCTGCTCACTGACTCTGATGTAAATAGATGTTTCATATGTTTCCTTGTATTAATATCTATAATCGTCTGGTTTGTATTGTTCGTTTTTTTGTATGCCTAAATATTTTGCTTGCTTTGTGTCTAATTTCGCGAGCTTTGCATCTACATGATCTAAATGAAGCAAGGCTACTTCTTCGTCTAGTTTTCTAGGTAGCTGATGTAATTGCTTTGCTAGTGTATCTTTATGCCTCCATAGATATATCTGAGCCAACACCTGGTTGGTAAAGCTCATACTCATAACAAAGCTAGAATGCCCGGTGGCACAGCCGAGGTTTACTAATCTGCCGTGTGCAAGCACAATAACGCTATGACCGTCACTAAATGTATACTGATCTACTAGGGGTTTGATGGTTTTCTTTTGTATATTTGTTTCTTCGTGTAGTTTTTGTACTTGTATTTCATTATCAAAATGACCCATGTTACACACAATAGCATTGTCCTTCATTTTTTTCATATGCTGCAAGGTTATAATATCTCTGTTTCCTGTTGCGCATATAAAGATATCTCCACTCTTCACAATAGAATCTATAGGCTGAACAGTATAGCCCTCCATTGCTGCTTGAAGAGCACAGATAGGATCGACTTCTGACACCAGAACCCTTGCCCCCTGCGATTTGCATGCAGCAGCACACCCTTTGCCTACATTGCCGTACCCACACACCACCACAGTGCAGCCGGCTATCATTCTATCGCTTGCTCTTTTTATACCGTCTATAACGCTTTCCTTGCACCCATAATAGTTATCGAATTTGCTCTTTGTAACTGAGTCATTCACATTGATTGCAGGAAACAGCAGGGTTTCTTTTATACTCATCTGCTGTAAACGTCTTACCCCTGTTGTTGTTTCTTCGCTTACTCCTTTTAGAGAAGCAATGGCACGCGTCCAAAATGTTTTATCCTTCTTATGCAGGGTACGTAGCACTCTTTTTACTTCTTTTTCATCAGGGTTCTTTGCTTCCTCCAGCACCCACGTATCGCCTTGTTCGAATTCGAAGCCTTTATGCACAAGCAGTGTAGCATCTCCACCGTCATCTACAATGAGTTCGGGTCCAATATAGTTGCCATCTGTTGTGGGAAATCGAAGCGCCTCTAAGGTGAGATCCCAGTACTCTGCTACTGTTTCCCCCTTCCATGCAAATACAGGAATCCCTTTGGGTTGTGCAGCGCTCCCTCTTTTCCCCACCACTACCGCAGCTGCGGCTTCGTCTTGTGTAGAAAAAATATTGCAACTAGCCCATCTTAATTCTGCCCCTAGTTCTGCTAAAGTTTCAATAAGCACAGCTGTTTGCACAGTCATGTGCAAACTTCCAGTGATGCGCGTGCCTTTTAACGCATTGTTATGGGTGCTTTTCTTGCGAATATTCATGAGGCCTGGCATTTCCTTTTCAGCTAGCTGTATTTCCTGCCTTCCCCAATCTGCGAGGTGTATATCTGCTATCTTGTACTCTTTGCTTTTGATTTTGCTTCGTGTCTTACTTGCTCTTATAGTACGCATTAGGCTACTCTCTATTTTGATATTAACTTAACAGTATATGTTGTTTTATTTATATCATTATATACTAATATCGGTTTTGTTTTGCTTCAATGTATGCCTTGCTTTATATAATTCCAATGATATTACGCTTGACAATAAAGGGTAAGTATAGTAGTATTATACTAGCTGTAGTATACATGTTATACAAACATGCCGATAACAAGAGGATATATGTTAGACCAAAAAACAGTATTTGTTGCACCAAAAGATATACAAAGAAAATGGTATCTCATAGACGCAAAAGACAAAATCTTAGGACGAGTAGCAACAGAGGTTTCAAAGCTACTGCGAGGAAAACACAAAGTGGAGTTTAGTCCGCACCAAGAACTTGGCGACTATGTAATTATTATCAACGCAGAAAAGGTTTCGCTTAGTGGAAATAAAACGATGCAGAAAACATATCATAGGCATAGTGGCTTTCCAGGATCACTTAAATCCGAAACATTTTTAGAGCTGAACAATAGAAAGCCTGGGTACGTACTAAAACTTGCTATAAAGAGAATGCTCCCTAAAAACAAGTTAGGTGCAAAGCTTATGAATAATGTAAAAATATACGCTGGGGAAACAGAACACCCTCACAGCGCACAAAAACCAGAAATATATACATTGTAGGGATAATATGGAAAAAAGGCAGTTCTTTGCCGTAGGAAAAAGGAAAACATCAATTGCTCGTATCTTTATACAAAGAGGTTCGGGAACAATAAGTGTCAACAAAAAAAAGACTCTGGATACCCAACTAAAAAGACCAGAGCTAATAAAAAAGGCGTTGCTCCCTCTCGCTGTAACAAAGCAAGATTCATTATGGGATCTTAAAATTAATGTTAGTGGAGGGGGTCTCACTGGGCAGGCTGGGGCGATATCGCACGGCTTAGCAAGAACTCTTATAAAAACAGATCCCGAATTGCGCCCTGCGCTGAAGAAGAACAACCTTCTCACAAGAGACTCTCGCATGGTTGAACGTAAGAAGTATGGAAAAAGGGGAGCGCGTCGCTCATTCCAATTCTCTAAACGTTAAGTTTTTGTGCAAGAGCCCCGCTCTCATTCCGCATCTGAAGAAACACAGTTGCTCTTACAAGGCGCGATAAATAAAGCATACTCATTAATACAACATAAGCTTTGCTCCTACAACGAGATAAAAAATAAACTCCTCTCACTCTTTCCTTCCCAAATTGTGCAACAAGTACTTAGAGAGCCCCCTGTATCCACGATGGACGATATTAGTTCGTGTATTGAATTATCGAAGTTTTTTCTTGCACAGAACCCTTACTCATATACACATATCACCCAAAAGCTACTAAAACGGCAGTTTACTTCCAAAGATATAGAATTGAGTCTTAGTATGCTTGAAGAAGAGTATAGGAACAAGCGGTTTGACGCTGCAGAAATCGCTACACAGCATCGTATACAAAATTTTGAGGCAAGCGAGTGTGCTACTTCTATGTGGGTATACATTACTGTAGTAGCAATGTATATAATACATAAAAAATACCCTGACCTCACTAGGCAAAGACTGGAGAGGCGCTTGTATATGAATGGGTATACAGAGGATAATATTAAAATTGCGTCTCAGATTTTGATGCTGTAATGCTATTGTGTTCTTGTGTTCTAAAAGAGCGCTAGCGTACCAATCATGCATGAATTGAGTGTGATCTGCGTTTATTGTATGCGTTCGTTTAAGCTACTTCACTTGTAAAGACTCGTAGTACATGCGAGGAGTATTAAATAAAAGAAGGAGTTGTGGGTTTAATTACCTGTGTTATCTTTATTTTTTTCTGCGCTTTTTTCTGCTGCTAACCTAGCTTCTTGCTTTTTTATTGAAATCTTATCATATATATCTGCACAACCGACAAGGATAAAGTACAAACCCATAAATGCCAATATAATAGGTACGCTCCCTCGAAGCACAAACAAAAATTCCTCTATCCACGCCAAAGACCATGTTACTGGAAGTACTATGTACACTCCACAAAGAATACTAAGGAGACCTATAACTATTCCAGCCATACGTTTACTATACTAAGTTATGGGTTTTATGTCTAGGACTGCCTTTTTCGTGACCTTTACTTTATAAGCTATGGGTACATTAGATTAAGAGACGCTGTATTTTCAAAGTTTCACAGCACTTGCTGTTAATAATGCTGTATTTCTTTTACTGCTTTTTCCCAGCTGTTCATTTCATGCGCAGAAAGATAGCTTGGTTGTGTAAGTATACTTTGCTGTCTTGCAATGTAAAAACCATGTCTCAGCAAGCAAGATCTTATTTCATCGTGTTCTTCTTTTTCTAAGGTGGGAAGAATAATATATATCCCTTTCTGCTCCCAATGAACATTGGGTAGACTTAATTGTGAACGTGCCGCCCCTTTCGTGACAACTCCTTTATCTAGCAATACATAATCCTTTCTCTTAGTGTGTCCCTTAGGGAGCATTCTTGCTGTATCCCCATGCTTTCGAAGTAAGTGTAGGGCATATATTATACCTGCTAACAGTATGGGGTTTATGGTATTAATATCCATAGGCGCTTGTGGTGTAGCACCTCTTTGTATGGGTGTGAGCGCCTGACACACAAGAGCTGCTTGTGGTATCCAGGGAAAAGGAACATACGGAACAACATTAACTGTTTTTGTCTTGCGTGTGTGGGTTATCTCTTTCCATAAGAACTCCATGCTTAGCCCGCTGTATGGTCTCCACAGAAAAAGCTTTTTTTTTCTCGTTTTAGAAAGCATATGCACCTGAAACATAGCTGTGTCTTCTTTTTGCTCTGTGTAGGAAGGATGCGACACATCGATAATCTCTACTTCTTTCATTGTGGCTGGTGCATCTATCCCGCTATGAATTATTTCGCTTACCCTCCATGAAGGAAACAAAGCAGAAAAGGTATGTTGAAAGCGCCTGCTTTGCTTGCTTGTAATGCCAAAGCATAACTTTCTAGAAAGCGCTTTCTTAAGTTCTAGTACGGTCGACTTGAAAGAATGCCCCCATATAGCTCTTCCAGCGCAGAGATAGAAATCAACAAAACGCTTCTCGCGAGAATAGAGGTGAAAATCTCGTGCTCGTGTAAATGTATAATCTTGATGACTACCCTTCATTATGTTTTGCTTTTTTTTGTATCGCCGAAGAATACTGAGGGAGAAACATTGCTTCGCGTCCATCTGTGAACACAACTTTAATAATGCAGTGCTTGTTTGTGTTACGTACCTGTAATATCTTTCCTGATCCATACGATTTATGTTCCACTTCATCTCCCTCCATCCATTTGCTCTCGTATACAGGGTGTTCGTTCGAATTGCCTTCACTGTGGTAATTGTTATGGTAATCGTTTTTCTTGTGTACGGGGTAGTAGCCCTGCCCTTCGTCGTGCGAGTGTTTTTGTAGCAGACGTTCTTCCGAGGTATATTCATAAAAACTCATATTCACTAGCTCCTGCTTTAGTTCTAAAAGAAAACTTGAAGGGAAGGTTTGGCGTAGAAAACCATATTTCTGCCGCTTCTTACAGTAACTAAGTGCAAGAAATTCCTTTGCTCGTGTTACCCCTACGTAGAACAATCTCCTTTCTTCTTCTATGTCTATATCCTCAAAATCCCTCCCCATTGGAAGTATACCTTCTTCAATTCCACAAATAAGCACCATGTCAAACTCCAGACCCTTGGATCTATGAAGACTCATTAACTGTATCTTAGAGGCAACATTTCGTAAACGCCCCTCTACAAGTGAAATCTGTTCAAAAAAACCCTGCCAAGCTTTGTTTTCGTTGGAAAAACCTGATGCAAAACTCACAAGCTCCTCTACATTCTTTCTACGTTCGCTGTTTGAGGCTTTGTCTTCCTCTGTGTAGTGTTCCCAAAGCCCTACACTTCGAAAAAGCTGTGCTAGACACGCGCCCACAGTAGGCTCCTTTTCAAGGGAATTATGGGACATGCAAGAACTAAAAAAATCTAGCCCTTTTTGTGCTGCTGCTGGTATATGCTGCCACAATATATTTTTTACTTCCTCCCAGTTTCTGCCCTTTGCCATTTCTTGGGTAATGCTAGCTATCGTCTTTGCCCCTATGCTTCTTCGCGGTTTATTTACTATTCTTCTAAAACTTATAATATCGTGTTTGTTTTTGTATAGGCGTAGTAAAGCTATGGCGTCTTTTATCTCTTCTCTCTCATAGAACGATACTGCACCTACTAACTCATAGGGTATCCCTGCCTGCACAAGCGCTTCTTCGTACCCACGGGAAAGGGAGTTGATACGAAAAAAAATTCCTAGGCTTTTGTTCTTTTCATTTGCTTTGCGTGCGAGTTCTACTACATATTTTTGTTCTGCTAGTTCATAATCAAATTGAATAACATGAGGTGTTTCCCCTTCATTTGTAGAGGAAAATACATCCTTGCTATGTCTTTTTGTATTGTGCGACACTACATCCTTAGCAAGATCTAGTATTTGCTTGCTTGATCGATAGTTTTCTTCTAAGCGAATTATACGACTTCCAGGAAAATGGGACGAAAAGCTAAGTATGTTATCCACTATTGCTCCTCTGAATTTGTAAATAGATTGGTCGTCATCACCTACCACCGTAAAATGAGGGTTGTGCTTATAAAGTAATTCTAGAAAAAGAAATTGGATGCTGTTTGTATCCTGGTATTCATCAACCAAGCAGTGAATCCATCTTTTTTGAACCATTTGTAACGCTTGCTTGTTCTTCTTAAGCAAGAGATAAGGAAGGAGTAGCAGATCTCCAAAATCCACATTCCCAGTATTCTTTTTTAGCTCTTCATATTTCTGGTAGGTTTGTGCGGATAAATGTAAGTCGTTCATTAATGGATCATTTGAGAAATGAGTAATACCTCTGTCTTTTAAGAAAGAGATTTTTCTTACTATTGCCTTTGCTTCTTGTGCTGAAATACCCTCTACCGCCTGTGTTACAAGGGCTTGCTGGTCATTTGTATCGTATATTTGAAAATCTCTTGGGAGGGATACGTCTTCATGAAATATTCTTAGCAAGCTTGCACCGAAAGAGTGGAAAGTGCTGATGTGTGCTTGTATTTTTGCTTGACTGAAAAGAAGCAACGCCACCCTCTCCTTCATCTCCTTAGCTGCTTTATTGGTAAATGTCATAGCAAGTATGGAGCGGGCATCTACTTTAGATTGCTCTACAAGCCACGCAATTTTGCTTGTAATTACTTTTGTTTTTCCAGATCCGGGGCCTGCTAAAATAAGAAGGGGCGCTCCTTCATGCTGCACAGCTTTCTGTTGTGCTTTATTTAAGCCTTTGAGTATTGGGTGATTATTGATAGCGTTGTCCTTTACTAATAACTAATACTTTATGGCCTTGGCACAAACTTAAGTACTTCCATAGACTGCTCACGTCTCCACAACAAATCAAACACTAGTGGAATGTTCTGTGTTTCTATGTTGACAGCTCTATTGTTTACAGTTATTTTTACAAAGCTGTCCATAGAGAGATAGACAGTTCCAGTATTGCCAGTAAACACATACTCATACAACGCATTTTTTGTTGCATTTCTTTCTGCAAGAACGCTATTCCCAGATACAATACGAAAAAAAGTTGGTTCAGAAAAAAGCAGGCTAATTGTAATGGGGTCTCTTATGTTTTTTCTCACAATATTTATAATTTCTCTGTCTGTATCAACACTTGGTATTTCTTTCTCACTTGTTCTTTGTAGTGTACTTTGATGGCTCACCCTTGGATCTATGCGCATTATTAACGTTTTTCTTTCTATATCCTGCTCGCGCATGATAAGTACATAATCAAACTCTGTATCAGCATCCACGTCCACTTGCTGTGGGGTATTGTACTCTAATTCAATAATCTGGCTTCCTATTGTCAATATACCCTCTTCTACAGAATCTATACTAAGTATTGCGCTGCTCTGCGAGGCAAAAAGTTCCACAGATTCTCCCTCAGAAAATTCACCCTCATATAAACCTGCAATCTTTTTTATTTTCTTCTGCTGAACTTCTGTATTATTGCTTCCCCAATTCAAAGAGGTTACTGTACTTACAATAAACCGTAATATTGCTTCTCTATTAAGCACTGCAACAACTGTTGTTAACACAAAAATAAGCAGAGTAAAAAAGATAATGCTACTCTTCTTTACCACTGTCCCCTCTCTTTTTTGCATATTGATTACCTCAAAGTCTATTGGTTTCTCTTGTAGAACGTTTAACTCAAACAGCTCTATCATTTGTACCGGATCTAAGCGCAGGTACCGAGAATATAGGTCTAATGTTCCTTTCAGATAGGTTTCCGCTGGAAATGCACTTTTGTTCATTGTTTCGAGTGCGAGTAGTTTATGTACTGATATTTTTGTATCTTTTGAAACTTTTTCTAGTGTTACACCAAGTTCTTTTCTTGCTTTTTGTAAAACTACACCATACTCATTCATGTTTTGTCCTCATTACTCTTCTTTATAAAACAAATCGCTAATTACTGGTGCAGTGGCCGGGGCATTAAATTCAAATCGAGTGTCTGGTATCCCTTTGTTAAGTTCTATCTCTAAGAAATCAAACTGCAATTCTTTGTTGTTAAATGTTACTGCGTTCACTCTATGTATAAGCTTGTCGTTACCAATGGAAAGAATTATCTCTCTAAAATTTTGGGTGGGTCCTTTTCTCCTCAGCCGTACTTTAATTACTTGTTCAGGCTGATTCCATAATCGTATGCCTTCCCTTTCCTCTCTACTCTCTTCGTTTAAGGCTACGTAGTCCGGTGATGCAACATAGGATACAGAATAATTATTGAGGAGTATATCTAAACCCGAGCGTGTAACAAACATCCCTCCTGTACTCATAGTACTGGTACGCTGCTGGTGTAATACAACGTTTTCCGTTGGGAAGTAGATGTAAAAATCTGCCCCGTCGCTACTTATTATCTGTCCTTCGGGTTCTTGGTATGCTATATGAAATTTGTCAGGGGGCTTTACAAATATCTCTGTGTATTCCTCCTTTCCATCTTGAGTAATAATAAGAAGCGCATGCATATCGTCGATGTCCCCATAATACTGTGCAATATCCTGCATGTAGTCGTTAGCGGTTACAATAAAGGCAGGATTGGTGTTTTCTTGTTCTTCCTGGTCTGTACTTGTGTTTTGTTGAGCATAAAGAGAAGGGGGAGCGAGAATGACAAAAAAAAGTGTAAGTGTATATATTCGTGCTGTGATATTTCGTATCATGGCTTGTGGGTGCTGTGTGTATTTCATATTTTTTATGTTTAATTAATATATAGTTATACTGTATCAAAAAACACTAATTTATTTTCTGTGGGTACTTTCTATGGATGCATTGCATCATTCTGTGGGCATCTTGTAATCACTGTTTATCTCTATAATAGCTTCTCGTATACCACTACTGGGAATTATCTCATTATCCCTTGTAAGAAATATGACTTCTGTGCCTTGTAGTCTCTCAACTAACTGCATACCTTTTTCTGCACCCATTACAAAAACCGCCGTAGATAAGGCATCTGCCAAGGTGCTTTCTTGGCTTACAACGGTCGCGCTGAGTAATTCATTTTCGGCTGGGTATCCTGTGCGCGGGTCTATAATATGAAAATACTGCTTCCCATTTTCTGTAAAATATCTTTCATACACACCACTGGTGACCACAGCGGCTTCGGTACTCTGAAGTACCAATGCCACCTCACCCGAATAGAAAGGTTTTTGTATTCCTATATTCCATGCTTCGCCGTTCTTTTTCTTCCCCAATAATACAATGTTTCCCCCAAAATCTAGAATCGCTGATTCTACCCCCGCATTTTTAAGGAAATCTCTTGTACTGTCTGCTGCATAACCTTTTGCTATTGCCCCTACATCTACCCCTTGCCCCGCCTCCATTTCTAACTCATATTCATTTGTGTCTGTGTTGTGTTCTACAGCTAAGGCCTGCCAATTCACACGAGAAAGCGCTACGTTAATGTGTTCGTTATTTGGTATCTTTTTTTCTTCTGAGTTAAAACCCCAAAGGTTCACGACTGGTTCTATGGTAGGATCAAAGCTCCCCCCTGTTATCCTTGATACCTCTATCGCTCGAGACAGAACATCGGCAATTTCTTTAGGTATACTATACCGCATAAGGGTACCTTGTTGCGATTGCTGTGTGTTGTTGTTCGTTACGTTGTCTTCGTTAAGACCTATGGCGCTTGCTGACTGAGTATTGATGTCTATAAGCACTGATTTCTCATAGTCGTCTGTGGATACGGTCATCATTTCTTCAATGCGCTGTATTCTTTCAAACGCTGCTTCTAATGTGCTACGGCTTCCTCCTTGTAGAAGGCGAATGTATACTGAAGTTCCAAGCAAAAAACGCACATCACTTACACCGTTGTTTTGACATGATATTGTAGAAATGAGTATAATAGTAAAGAATACTAACTTTAGTTTTTCGCCCACATGCTATCCTTAGGTTTAATATGAAATTAATACACAACGAGAACTACTACCCTAGTTTACACTATTTTGATTACGATTTCTTAGCTATGTACGAAAAAACATGGAAGGAAATAGAATCCAACTGGTTGACTCTACCCACCCAGGAGGGTGAGAAGCCGGAGTATCATCATTTGAATGCAGAAAAAGAACAAACACTTACCCTAGAAAACGCTGCAATGTCCCCTTTTTATCTTCTCTATTCCAACAATCACTTTAACAGCACTTCTCTTCTTGATTTCTTTTACGCACAACAAGAGACATCTGGTGCGATACGCTCTGAATATAATAAAAAAACACTTGCTCCGGTTATAAGAAAAAATAACCCTGAAGGCATTGCTTGTCCTTTAATATTATGGTCTGAATACAATTATTTTAACAAAACAGACAACAAAAAACGCTTAAAAGAAATAGTCCCTAAATTGGATCTTTATCTTAATTGGCTCAGTTCAATTACAAGACAAAAAAACGGTCTCTTTAGAGCACCTGTTGATGCAACGTTACTTCCCGGTCCAATACGAAAACACGCTTACTACCCCCTAGATTTTAATGTTACCATGGCTTTAGCGTTTTTATACATGTCACGCCTGGCTAATTTTACAAACTTTAGAAACTTAGTCATACGATACACAAAACTCTACTATCAGCATAAATCCTTAGTAAACACGCATTTTTGGCACGAGCAAGATAAATTGTATTATGACTTAAATGAAAAACTAAAATTTGTTAAAACAAAAACCCTTATTTCCTTTACCCCAATGCTTGCTCGAATACCTAATGAAGATAGAGTGATGCACCTTGTTTCTTACCTCAAAAGCAAGAACCATTTTCAAACTGAGCACCCGTTCCCCACCGTTTCGATTAGCGAATCCCAGTTCTCGCAGTCGGGTCAAATGTTTCGTGGAGCAACTCACCCTTTTCTTAATTTTATTACTATAAAAAGTTTAGAGCTCTACAAGAGGTATGAATTCGCTCGCATCTGTGTAGTGAAGCATCTTTATGGGGTTTTTTCGGTTATTGATTCAGAGAATCCTGAACATAACAGCAGTCTCTGGTCGGCCTACCATCCAACAAAAACCATTCCAGCTAAAACCACAAAAGAACATAAGGTGCATAAAAATCATATACTCAGTACCGCTCTTTCCACTATAACGCTTATGATAGAAAATATACTTGGTATCGAAATTATTCTTCCTAAAAAAATGCTTGTTTGGGTTATTCCCACCCTGGAGGAATTAGGCATAGAGCATATACAACTAAAAAGAAATTACATTTCCACCATGCTCATTAAAAGTAAGAGGGGGTGGGAAATACGACATAATGCAGAAAAACTGTATTATTTTTCTGTTGAAATTTTAGAATTAAATAAGAAAAAAACTCTTCCGTTCCCTTCTGGTCGCTGTTCTC